ATCTTTGATAAACCTCCGATAGAAACCTGCATATCCAAGAAATGATCGTATCTCCCTAACGGTAGTACGATAAGGTAGTGATTGGATGACTTCCACTTTTGCTTTGTTCACCTCGATCCCTTTGGATGATATCACATGGCCTAGGACAATTCCTTCCTCCACCATAAAATGACATTTTTCAGAGTTTAGAACAAGATTTGATTCTAAACAACTTTTCAAAACAAGAGATAGATGGAGTAGGCATGAATCAAATGAGTCTCCATGGATTGTAAAATCATCCATAAAGACTTCCATACATAGCTCAACATATTCAGAGAATATACTCATCATGCATCTTTGGAATGTGGCTGGGGCATTGCATAGTCCAAATGGCATGTGTCGGTATGCAAAGGTGCCAAATGGATAAGTGAAAGTAGTCTTTTCTTGATCTTCAGGAGCTATGGGCACTTGAAAATACCCGGAGTAGCCATCAAGAAAACGGTAGAATTTATGCCCCGCAAGTCTCTCAAGCATTTGATCAATGAAGGGTAAAGGAAAGAAATCCTTTCTAGTTACCGCATTGAGTCTACGGTAGTCTATACATACCCTCCATCCGTTTTGAATTTGGGTGGGCATAAGTTCTCCATGTTTGTTCTCCACCACCGTGACTCCAGTCTTCTTCGGAACCACTTGGGTTGGACTAACCCACTTGCTATCGGAAATGGGGAAGATTATCCCCATTTGGAGTAGCTTGATCACCTCCTTTTTGACCACCTCCATCATAGGTGGGTTTAGTCTTCTTTGCGGCTGTCGCATCGGCTTGGCTTCATCCTCCAATAAGATGCGGTGCATGCATGTAGATGGACTAATGCCTTTGATGTCGGCTATAGTCCATCCAATTGCTAGTTTGTGCTCCTTGAGCACCGCTATCAATTTGCCTTCTTGCTCTCCAGTCAATTTGTTTGAGATAATAACCGGTAGTGTCTCTTTTTCTCCCAAGAATACATATTTCAAGTGTCTTGGGAGTGGTTTCATTTCAACTTCGGGTGCCTGCAAAACTGAAGGCAAAGGCTTTTCTTCGGGGATGGTTAGTGGAAATGCTCTCGACCCCGGTGGCATAAGTGGGAGTTGGAAGTGAGTATCCAATTCCACTATCATAGCTTGTGTGTTGGGAGTCAAGGCAAGTTCTAAAGAGTTTTCCCCGAAGTCATTCTCAAGTATACTTAACAATTCGTCTTCTCCATTAATTTCAAAAGTATTTTGTACAAGAGGGTCAACAATATCAATGGCAAACAAAGAATGATTTTTCATTTGGGTATTTCATGGAGTCATAAATGTTGAATTCAACTTTATCTCCATCAAATTCCATTGTTAAAGAGTCGCTAAAGACATCAATCTTTGCTCTAGCGGTTTTTAAAAATGGCCTTCCTAAGAGGATAGGAACCGCATTCTTATCACTCTCCATTTCCAAAACATAAAAGTCAGCGGGGAAAATCAAATTGTCAACCATAACTAGTATGTCTTCGACAATACCTTTAGGGTAAGCATTTGATCTATCCGCAAGTTGAATGACTACTCCGATTTCATTTAGAGGGCCAAGCTCAAGTGATTTGTATAAAGAGTAAGGAATGAAATTAATTGATGCTCCTAAATCGAGCATGGCTTTTGAAAACGTAGTTCCTCCCAACTTACAAGGTATAGTGAACATGCCCGGATCATTGTATTTCTTCGGGAGTTTCTTTTGAAAAACTACCGAAACACGTTCACTAACTTGGACTTTTTATTTTCCATTGAGTCTATGTTTCCTTTTTATTGTACATAGTTCTTTGAAAAAAATTGCAAATCTGGGCACACCCTTTATCAAGTTAAGGAGTGGAATATTTACCTCACATTTGGAAAATGTCTCATAGATGTCCTTGTCTTTCTCCAGCTTTCGTGTTTCCCTTAGAGCCTCGGGGAAAGGTGCTTCAATTTCGTGGATGACCGGTGGTGGGGTTAAGATTTGAACTTCCACCTCCGGTTGAGTTATTTCCACCAGCTCCTCTTCTTCCTCCTCTTCGCCAATGTGGCTCTTTGCCTTCTCCTTGGCAATAACCAACTCCTTGCCACTCCTTAATGTGACTGCATGGGCTTGTTGCCTATGATTCGGCTCCGTTTGAGATGGTAGCTTCACCGAATCCTTAGCTTCAAGCCTACTCACGCCTTTCCAAGTTGTGGATGCTGGATTTTGTTGTTTCTTGAAATTGGACCACACTTTGTTGCATCGTTGCCATGTTCATGGCAAGTGATCGAATCATGTCTTCGGTGGACATGTTCGAATTCGAAGTTTGGCCTTGTTTTTTATATTGTTGAGGGGGAAGGTTTGATGGTTGAGGAGGTTGAGAGTTTCCGTACCTCAAATTAGGATGATCCCTCCATCCCGGATTGTAGGTGTTGCCGTGAGGGTTATACCTCTTTTGACTTCGAAACCCCAAAGCATTGACTTGCTCGGAGTTCTCCTCTTGTAGTGTTGGTCGGGCACGAGTCGGTGGGGTGCTCTTGTGTCGAGCATATGCCGCAGACCTTGACTTCTTGGGTTTTTGGATTTAAGAGAAAATCTTTAACCAAAGAAGTCAAGCCGGCTACTTGACTTTCCAACGAGCTGTTGGATTCCGCTGACATAACTCGTTTTGATGACCGCCGATCATAGTTTCTACAATTCTCGGCCAACTCCGAGATAAGGTTTCTAGCTTGAGAAGGAGTCTTGTTGACAATCCCCCCTCCACATGCGGCGTTGATCATCCGCCTATCTTCATTGCAAAGGCCATCATAGAAGTATAAGATGAGGTCTTGCTCCGAATAGCCGTGGTATGGACAGCTTGCACAAAGTTTCTTGAATCGTTCCCAATATTCTTAGAACGATTCGTCATCCTTTTGCTCCACATTGCTAATCTGCTTTTTGAGAGATGGGGAGACAGAGGCAGGGTAATACCTTTCGAGGAAAGCTTTCTTCATGGCCGCCCATATACATATACTTCCCGAAGGAAGATAGAATAGTCAATCCTTTGCGGTTTCCTTTAGAGAAAATGGAAAAGCCCACGGTTTGATTTGTTCTTCCGTCACACCATTTGGACACATGCTTGTGCAAACGCCGTGAAACTCCGAGAGGTGTTTGTTCGGATCCTCTCCTCTCAGGCCATAGAAGGATGGCAGCAGATGAATGAGCCCAGATTTTAGCTCAAACGTATTACCCTCATCAAGTGTAGGGAAGGTAATACACAGTGGTTGTTGGTTCAAGTTTGGAGCTGTGAGCTCCCTCAATGCTCTTGTTTCAAGAGCCATGTGGAAGGACTCTTCGGATTCGCTAGAACTCGAGCTAGCGGTGGATGAATCTCTGGTAGATGATTCCTCCGAGTCGGTGTTTGAAAATTTACTTTTCAACCGCTCGAAAGTTTGTTCTATTTCGGGGTTTGATTGGTAGATGATTCCGTTCAGTGAACGATATTTAACCATATACTTCAAAGCTCAGAAATAAAAAAATAAGAACTCTTTATATTTTTATTTAATCTTTTTTTTTCTTGAAATGAAATAAAAGAAAAAATTATTGTCTTTCTCCGGCAACGGCGCCAAATTTGACGTACACTTGTCGTAAGATGCACTCAAAATAAATACAATACAACGATTATACGTAGTATAACGAAGTAAGGTTCGTATCCACGGGAAAAGGAATATTTATCTTTTATAATAATAGTAATAAAAGGGGGGGTTTGAGTTTGATTTGATTTAATTTAATTGACACTAAAATGAACAACTTATATGAGTTTAAATAATAAAGATGCGGACTTGGTTTTGCTTTTCTCCACTTAATGAAATGTTCGTCGATCCCGATTATATCTTTAACTATCTTCCTCTCGAATACTCAATCGAGGAGTATATCCAGTTCATCGAGGGTAGTTATTAATAACGAGATGCGTTCATTAATAAAATTTACTATCGAGTCAATATAGAACAAGCACCGTATATTAGTTTAATCAATATAATTAATTCCGCTTGGCATATTAACCATGAGATGCATGCATTAATAATCCAAGTTTACTACTGTTGAAAGAACCGAATTAATAATAAACGTATTAACCGATTGATTCTAGTAATAATTAATATAAGAGAGTAAGAGACAAAACTAGTTGATACTTTCAGTAATGCTCAAAATATTAATATGGAATATGAATAGGAAAGAATTAATATTCAAGGAAGAAGATTAAAGAAAATAACTCACAACTTACAAATTCGTTAAGCTTCAAAATAGCAAAATCAAGATGAAAGAGTTTAGCTCCTCATTTGGAGACTAAACATGAAGAAAATATAAAGAAAGAGTTATTCTAGACTGAGCTTAAAAGTATAAAAGAATTGGATGTCTAATTGTGAAGGAAAGAGGGTGTATTTATAGGCTTTTGAGATGCAGCTCGGGTACCCGACCGGGTATATACAGCCATACAGGGTACCCGATCAGGTATGTGTATTACCTCAAATTCGAGGTATACTCGATCGATCAAAGGGAAAATTTCATAGGCATACCCGATCGAGTATACCTTTGTGCTCGGTCGAGTATGCTTATAACTTCAGATCCGGGGCATACTTGACCGAATTCAGGTTTGTATTTGAAGAGATACCCAATCGGGTGTGTCGGTGTACCCAATCGGGTATGGACACTCGATCGTGCTCTGAATCTTCTCTGCATGATCCTGTCTTCGGATCCAATCCGATTTGAAGTTTCAACAAGATACCAGATCGGGTATAGGTGATACTCGACCGGGTATAGACCAAAATTTCAGGATCCTTCTTTTGTCTTCAAATTATGCACCTTCCTTCTACTTTTGGGGTTCACCAACTGTCATTTGAGTTGATCAAGACCTGTTTGAGCTCAGAATAAACCTAATCTAAACAATTTACAAGAAATTAACAAACTAAACTATTAGACCAAAAGTGTGTAATTTCCAAAGTAAAACTCAATCAAAACTAATTAAAAACACAAACATATATATGGAAATTACAAACGTATCACATAGAATTACATAGTTACCACATTGTGTTAATTCTTATCAAAATTACTTATTACACTACATTCCAATTATTTTATTTTATAATTGCTTACAAACGTTATTTTCAAAAGGCACTTCATAAGGAATGATGCTCTAGTACTAGTTAACTTGTGACTGAGCGCTCGATCTAAGTACATTCAACGGCCAATTAGGGAAAATTTAGGAAGCTATGCACTAAAGGTTGCCCGATCCTTCTGCCAACAGTTGACTACAAAAGAATCCATGATTATCTGCACGAATCTTTTTCGTGTCAACAAACAAAGCTTATTTATAATTACATTAAAAAAATGGTAGTAGTTTTTTATAAAATAAAAAATACAAAAGAATATTTAATAACCAACCTGGCTCAAATGGGCTGCAACACCAGGAAGAATCAGCAGACCAGGTTCACCCAGGGCACCACCAAGCTGTTCAACAACTGCTACCATGACCGGCAACGTTTTCTAATGTAAAATAGAGACTAATATTTGTGTTATCTATATGATTATAGGCGTACAGCTTCATATTCTCTAAAGATCATTGCCTGAGTAGCATAGAAATGCAATACGATAAACACAATAAACTTGATTTCTAAAAAGTATGGGATATAAACATGATAATATTTCTAAAAAGTATTACGGAGTAGAAAATATGAAATTATTACATATTAGTAGATAATTAAACATGAAATGTGAAAATACATTTCTAGTTTCTAGCAATACATTGGGTTGTGAAATATGACCATATTTCTAGCAATAAATTGGTTTATAAAATATGACCAAAAAAATCCGCTTAAAAGTTCTAAAGATGCTCTATTGCTCTATTTATCACAGAATTTGAAGTTTCTGGAACATTAATTATTTAGAAAAACAGAATTAAAAATTCTTTTTAATTATGGAAGCTGCCCCAAAAACGGGAAAACTTATCGATTCATGGGAAGTTGCTGTGCTTCATAGTTCATACACTATGTCACTATTACACAACTTATTATATACATATATGAGTGGCACAAATCCAATATAGAAACCGAAACTTGTGAACATGACACCGTGATACTGCTAAAACTAGGATTAATATATGATATATATATACTGCGTATGTTTCTATAATTCTATCACTATTTTATTTACTTTAACATCTAATAATAGCACGACTCCCACCACAGCTAACATGAGACACACACAGGCCAATTCAGAGAAATTGTATTTCACCTGGCTCGCAACAAATAAGAGGGCACTGGCATTTTCCTTCTTCGCGAAAGCTAATTTGGGTCCACCAAAAGAGAAAATTCTTATCGCAAGAGCGTTAAAAGAAAACAATATTACATGCAAAAGCCTGCAAGAACAATGAAGTTTTTCTCGATCAGAAGAAATTTGTATCCAAATTAGGGGTGACAAAAGAGTCCATCTGTCCACCTTCCATCCAGTCCACACAAAGGTTAATCCAACCACTAATATTTTAGTCGTAATGGATTAGTCTCAATCCATCACTGGATCACATATAAATATCTTTTGAATCCAGTGAAACCATTCAGTTTGTGTCATTTATTAATGAATTACTACTCAGTTTATAACTATATGTATGCTAAAGTATCATCAGACACGTTGTGTTGCTCAATCATCTTTACACAAGAAAAGTAATAAGTGGATGCATTGGATATCCATCCGTAGAACAATTGATAATGATGGATTAGATGGATTTTATTTAATGGTTTATGGCAAGATTGGATAAATTTTACTTACTCATAAATGGAATAATGCATTCAATGTATCTGTTACAGTATGAACAAAAATGGAAAATTTGGTATTTGCATCTCATACTTGAATGCGGTCCGAAGCCTTATATTAGGGAAAACATGTAGCTCAAAGCATAACAAAAATTGTATTTGCACCTAAGTCTGCCCTACAATTTGATTTTGCACCCCACTCAGAGGAGTCCTCGGGTAGTCGGGTGAAAAGTCAAATAAAACAACATAAGGCATAAAGTCAAGTGTCGAGATAATCATGGGATGCAAATATCAAATTTCTCATAAAAATTAATCAAGTCTTTCTTTTTGGAGGAAGTGTACAAAAAGTTAGGAAACTTAAATTGGAGGAAGTGATGGGATGGAATTAAGAGGAATGCATGTATGCTTATTGCTTACGCTCCCATAACCACTGCAATGAGAAAAGCAGCTGGGTTAACCAGTAAGAGCAGTGATCTTGATTTACTCACTTGTATAAATGGGGCCTGTTTAGATAAATAAATAAGAAAGAAAAAATAGGAATTACTTTTTCATCTACAGAACTTGTGGTTTTCAAAGATACTTTTCACGATCTCGAATCATAGTTGCCTCACTATAGTAATTTGGCATTTGAAGCAAGAGACGCTCAGAATATTCTGCATATGAGTACTTCGAGAAGTGTATGCCTGTGTGGGGTGGGGGTGGGAGATTCTACACACAAAGAATGAGGAAATCAGACAGATATTGGATCTTACTAAACTGAGGAGAACTGCACTTGTTACAGACAGGAGCTTGCGATTCAGATCAGCAAATTCTGCCAATCCTGCATCAGGTGCATCCATAGATAAAGGGAAATGTAAGCCCGCAGTTTATGGGAAATTACGCAGTAATATGAAATTGCAAAATAGGAGTACATCCTGAAACCATACTGCCATATTTTATCATTGCTAGGGATTATATGGCAGTATTACTACTACAATTGGCTGTATTTCCAAAGCATTGCAGTAATTACTCCTATTTTAGGGAAAAGTAGTACTTCTATTTTGACATTTCACATTGTTTTTACTCCTATTTGGGGCAATTTCCGGACTTATTCCTGAAGCATAACAAAGTCTACAATCAGTAACTTATGGCAACAGGTAGTTGATTGGATGAACAATTGGATGAGTAATGCTCCATGTTTAAGTATAAGGAAATCCATAATATATATAGTGTGGATATCACTAACGTAGTATGTGCCAAGAATGTAGTAAATGACAGACTAAGTATATACTGATTATCTTATTATACTTGTATCTCAAAATGAGTACAACTACTTTCAGTAACGTAGTATGTGCCAAGAATGTAAAACTCACTCTTGAATGAATCTCGAAAAACCTGTTCAACCAAGAAAAAGAATTCATTAGTCCGTTGAAGACAAGTAAACTAAAGGAGAATAGTGCTCTAAGGGGCTTGTTTGGTTTGGGAGTTTCGAAGGGAAGGGCATTACTGCTTTTTATTTTACTCATCGCCATTCATCATTATTACCCCAGTGGCAGAGGCTCCCACTAGCGGTGGGGTAAGGAGGGTCGGATGACCCATGGTGAAAATTGCGTCGAAAATTGCATGGACTGACTGATACTTCATAACAAAGAAGCGCAGAACAGTTTAGTGAGCTATTTTGATTTATTCCATCACATTCTCAAGCCGAAAAATAGTGAATTGTTGGCTCCATTGCAAATGATGGAGCACTGCTTTTTATTTTAGTAATTTATTTAAATCTTAAAATAGAAATAGCCATGTGATTAGGTAGATTATGAATTTCTATATAGATTTCCAAACAACAATGTAGAAATTATTGAAAATTAAATATCATCCCTTCCCTTCCTTCATGGCTCCATAACCTTCAAATTAAAGTAACTCTAAAGGAAACAAATACATAGGGGTTGAGGAGTTCATGGTGCATTAACAATTAGGAACACAAAATTTAAATTTACAATTCTTCACAAACATGCTTCTTCAGAGTGGAAGACACCTTTCCGAGAATGAGAGGAACCAAGAGTGTGAGAACAAGGCCTGTCATCAGCCGCTGAGTCGGAACAGATAGACCAACTCCCCTGGCAATGAGCTTTGAGATGGAAAACGGTATCTAAGATCACATTGGAAAGCATAAGAAATCTATCTATGTTTAGATAATAGTGTAAAGTTTTTGACAGAGATTTGCATAAGTCATAACAGTGTGGTAACATACAATCAGAATTCCTGTGAGACTTGATATCAATGTCATTGTAAGAGCAAGGGCAGAATTTCCTCCAGCCAGCTGCACTTTGACATTTCAAAACTACAATCAGTAAAGAAATACTTACGTAGGTAATGAGGCAGGGAGAGTACCTAAAACTGCAAGCTGGCCCATGCCCAGAATGGACGGGGTGACCCATGTGCAAACTATTAAATACAAATACAAAAGCCAACACTATTTCAAATATAAAATCCAATACTATTTAATCAATGTCAATGCCATTTATTTATACAAAATATAATCCTAAATAATTTACATAGAGTTAAGCTATCATATTCACAACGTTTTATAGTGTATATATCTAATTAAATTTTCAGTGGAAGTTGATATTATTTTTCATGTATATTTTTATCTTGTGTGATATTTCTCCTTGTAACTTATTACCAAAAATACAATGTATTACATTCCGCCTTGTTGCCCATCACGGGCAGGTTGCAGGCCAAATACGGTGGGCAGGGTGGGTTTGTGATAGAGTCGTAGAGTCTTTGTTAAGTATCTATCTGGAATCAGTAATAATGGCGGCAGAAAATAGGAACGAAGATGAACAGTGAACAGGAATAGTTATTCGAACAACAGAAAAAGAGAGAGAAAGTGCCCTGACAGTTAAAGAGATGTCAACTCTCCAGTCCCAGCCCAATACCAAATAACAGCCTGCCTTATTCATCCTTTAGCTATCTATTTATAGAAGTCCACCCGACCCCCAAAAACAATACAGCTAGCTACTTATTATTCCCTTTCCTTCTGGAATACACTTTATCATAATAGCTAATACTATTATTATTATCAAGAGGTTGACTTCCCATGACTCTAACATCACTCACTCCCCCTGGAACTACCACCTTGTCCCTAAGGTGGAAGTCAGGAAATTGCCTCTGAAACTGTTGCAGCTCCTCCCAAGAATCGTCAAACTCTGGCATATTCTTCCAGTGCACCAAAACTTCAACTTTTCCAACTGAGTTAATTCTGCTTTCCTTTACTTCTTCAGGACAGACCTGTAATTCCCATTCTTCCGAGAGGCACTTTGGTAAAGGTTGTGTCTGTACAGTAGTAGACACTGTTTTCTTAAGGAGAGTACATGGAACACAGGATGCACTCTACAATCTTCAGGCAACTTCAGCTTATAAGCCACAGATTGATTTTCTCAATAATCTCAAAAGGCCCATAAAATCTAGGGCTAAACTTCTGATTACTTCTTCTGGCTAGAGTCTTTAATTTGTAGGCTTGAATCTTCAGATATACCCTCTCCCCTGCAGTCAGTTGGACCTCCCTTCTCTTCTTATCAGCTTGTTGCTTCATTCGGTTTTGTGCATTAGCCAGATTCTTTTTCAGTTCATCTAACATATCATTCCTTTCGGCTGTCAATCTATCCACCTCCTCCACAGCTGTTAAAGCCACATCTCCTCTGATTAACACTGGTGGATCCTGCCCATATAATACTTTGTAGGGGTTGTTCTTAGTAGACACATGGTAGTTGGTATTGTACCAAAACTCAGCCCAAGGTAACCACTTGGGCCACTGCTTTGGTTTCATCCCTGTCATACATCTGAGTTAAGTTTCCACACATTTGTTAACCACCTCAGTTTGTCCATCTGTCTGGGGATGGTAGGCAGTGCTATACTTGAATTTGGTTCCAGCTGACCTGAATAACTCAGTCCAAAATGAGCTTAGGAAGAAACCATCTCTATCTGAAACTATGGTCTTTGGAAAACCATGCAATCTAACCACTTCTTGTAAAAATGTTTCTGCCACTCCTTTAGCATTATATGGATGTGATAATGCTATGAAGTGAGCATATTTTGTTAACCTGTCCACCGCCACTAGAATAGTGTCTTTCCCCATTGCTTTTGAAAATCCTCCAATAAAGTCCATACTCAAATCAGTCCAAATCTGATAAGGAATGGGTAAGGGTTGCAGCAACCCTGCTGGACTTGATGTTTGATACTTTGATGCTTATTCCTCTGACAAACTTCACAATTTCTAACATAACTCTGAATGTCCTTCCTCATCCCTTCCCAATAAAATAGATTGGAGATTCTTTTCATGGTTTTGAAGCTTCCTGCATGACCCCCCACTGCTGACTCATGAAATTCCTTAGAATTGAACCCCTTCTATCAGAATTCTTGGGAATAACCAATCTGTCTTTGTAATAAAGTAACCCTCTCTGTACTTTGAAATCTGGCACTGCTTCTGGCTGTCCCCAAAGTGCTTGGATAATCTCTTTATATTTATCATCTTCCAAGAGCTCCTTTTCCAAGTCCTCCCACTCCTGACAGGTTATTATTGATAGGGAATAAAATCCTCCTTTTCTGGAAAGAGCATCTGCAGCTTTGTTTTCCTTTCCAGGTTTGTATTTAATGATAAAATTGAACCCCAAAAGTTTAGTAACCCACTTTTGCTGATCCTCCCCCAATAATCTCTGTTCTGCGAGAAACCTTAAACTCTTTTGGTCTGTGTGCACCTCAAATTTTCTCCCCAACAAATAAGATCTCCATTTATGTATTGCCAACACAATTGCCATCAATTCTCTCTCATAAACTGATTTATTTTGATTCGTGGTTGACAAAGTTTTGCTCATGTAAGATATAGGTCTCCCTTCCTGCATTAATACTGCCCCAACCCCTTTTCCAGAAGCATCCGCTTCTATAACAAAGGTTTTGTTGAAATCTGGAATTTGTAGAACTGGCAGTCTGGTCATAGCTTGTTTCAGTTCTTCAAAGGCATCCATTGCTTCCTGTGTCCATTGGAATCCATCCTTTTTCAGTAGGTTGTTGAGGGGTGCTGTTATCTTACCATACCCTTTAACAAACCTCCTGTAATAACCTGTTAGTCCCAAGAATCCCCTCAAGCCTTTAGCATCCTTAGGGTTTTCCCAGTCTAACATATCCTGCACCTTACTGGGATCTGCCTCCACACCCATTCCAGATATAATATGGCCTAAATAAGTCAATTTTTCTTGTCCAAATTCACATTTCTTTTGATTGACCACCAACTGATTATCTTTCAATATCTGCATTACTTTCTTAACATGCTCAATGTGTTCCTCCTCTGATTTGTTGTAGATCAAGATATCATCAAAAAAAACAACACAAACTTCCTTAAATAGGGTCTCAACACCTTGTTCATCAAAGCTTGAAATGTAGAAGGAGCATTGGTGAGACCAAAAGGCATAACTATGTATTCATAGTGGCCTTCATGTGTTCTAATAGCTGTTTTGTGAATATCTTCTTCTTTCACCCTGATTTGATGGTAGCCGGATTTCAAATCCAGTTTAGAGAAAATTTGTGCTCCCCCCAGTTCATCGAAAAGTTCTATACTTCTATCATTGGAATAGGGAACTTGTCAGGAACTGTAATTCTATTTAGGGCTCGGTAATCACCACAAAAACGCCTCCCCATCCTTCTTCTTCACCATCTAGGTAGTTAACTCGCTACTCGGTAGTAACTCGGTCAAGGACCGAGTAGCGAGTAGGACCGGTTACTCAGGATTACTCGTTCATTACTCAGCCTTGTATTTATTAAATTTAATAACATAAGTGCCAGAGAGCATAGAAATATAATAGTCCTACAATTATCTAAAAATGCATAGAAATGAATAAAATGATAGAAAACGATGGAGTAGAAAAAGTCATAAGCATTCTAAGTTTTCACGAAAATCAATCATCTAATAGTTTCGTAAGATCTATGTTCTCTCCCCATGTCCATCCTATATCATCTGATTTTCTCTTAAGTGTAGTATTAGCATATTCAGTCCCATTATAAGCCTCAGCAGACTGGGTAGAGTTCATGATTGTCAATCAATGATGTGTGATAGTGTGTATCAATCAATATAGTGATATTAATTAAAAGTTACGTAATATAATATATATAGCCATACTAGTGAAAAGAATTTATTTATATCAAAATATATGTGTGTTGATACTTTAAAATACAAATCAACTGAAAGATGGGAGGGTGAAAGAAGAAGAAACGAGAGAGGGGAGAGGGGAAGATAAGAGAAAAAAGATGACAACTTATTGAGAAATTGTAGTCACAGATCTGGGGATAGTAGATGTCAGAAATTCCGTTCAGTCTAGGTTTTGTAACTTAATTTTTCAATTTTTTAAGGGGGACCGAGTTAGACCGAGTAACTCGCCGAGTTGAAAACTTCACCGAGTTGAGAAACTCGCCGAGTACTCGGCGAGTAACTCAAAAATAAAACACGAACCGAGTTAGGTAGCTACTCAACAAGGTCAGTACCCGAGTTGCGAGGACTCGCCGAGTACTCGCCGAGTACTCACTGAGTAGATAACCTAGTTCACCATTAATACTGGACTACTATAGGGACTGGTACTAGGCCTGATAATGCCTGTTTTTAACAACTCCTGCACAACCTTTTCTATCTCAATCTTCTGGTACTACGGGTATCTATAGGGTCGAGTGTTTGGAGGATTTTCACCTTCTTTTATAGTAATGGCATGGTCACATTCCCATTTTGGAGGTAAACCAATTGGGGGTTGGAACACCTCAGCAAACTGTGTTATCATTTCTTGCATCCATAATTTTTCCTTTCCTTCTTCCACCTTGTTTTCTGTAACTGCATGGCTGAAGTGCTGAACAAACAATATCCTTCTTTTTGCTCTTGCATAGTCTTAATGATAGATTTGAAAGAGGCCTGATTTCTGCTGAGATTGGTATCTCCCTGAAGCTGCCTTACTTTATCCTTCTCCTTCAATTTGATAGTTAATTGATTGAAATTGAATTCAACAGTTCCCAAACTTGTAACCATTCCAGTCCCAAAACCATCTCTGTTTCTCCCAATTCTAATACATATAAGTCTTGAGTGATGTCAATCTGTTGAATGTTAAGAGAAACAGCTTCACACCTCCCATTGTTTCTGATTATGTCTCCATTCCCTATCTCCACCTTGAATTCTGGAATCTGGAGAACAGGTAACCTTGCTGCTTGTACTAACTTATGAGATATAAAATTGTGTGTGGCCCCACAATCAATCAGAATTATGATGGTTTTATTTCCTATGTGGCTCCTTAACTTCCCCTTCAATTTAAGTCTTAGGAGTTGTTATCCCTTCTTTGCTCATAAGGGATAGCTGCATATTATTCAGGTCTGTCTCTTCCAACTGTGAAGCATGTTCTGTAACATTATTGTCCAATACATCCTCCTCCTCTTCAGATTCATCCAACATGATGATCTGAAAGTGTTTCATCTTACAGCTGTGATCTCTGCCCCATCTTTCACCACATTTGAAACATAAACCTTTTCTGCTCAATTCTTGTAACTCAGCTTGAGATCGTCTGTGTGTACTCCTTATTCCCTGCTCTTTATTTTCTGTCTCCATTTTCTTTTCCACTGCAGGTTTCCCTTGACTGGACTGGTTATTCATACTGCTCTTCCACTTATTTTCATCCATCCATTTGTGATTCTGTAATGCAGTATACCCTTTTTCCTTCATTCCTCTTCTATCTTCTTCCTTGTTTTTGGCAGATCTTAGAGTTTGGTTCCTCTGTTCAACAAGCAAAGCCCTATCCATCAATTCTGCAAGAGTTCTGACTGGATATAACTTTAATTCAGCTTTGATTTCATCTTTCAAACCCTTCATAAAGATTCCCTTGAGTATTTTCAAATCAGTCTATTTCAAGGGTGCCACCATCAACTCAAATTGTTCCCTATACTCCATCACACTGCCAGTTTGCATTACACTCAATAAGGGGCCATAAGGATCATGTATCAATCCTCGTTGAAATCTACGAGTCAAGGCAGACTTGAATGATTCCCAGTATCTCATCTCAGTGTGTTCTTCCCACCACTGAAACCAGTTAAGAGCCTTTCCTTCCATTGCTAAAGTAATTAATTCTACTTTATCATCTTCCTCTATATGATTCATTTTAAGGAAACGCTCAGCCTTAACTATCCATCCATAAGCATCATGTCCATTAAAGAGTGGTAAATCTACTTTCCTTCCAGATTTTTCCATCAATTTACTGTAATCATCACTTCGCGAAGAAGATTGATGCTTACCTGAGGAAGACGAAGACGATTCACTACTATCATGTCGCTTACTTCGCTTCGTTGTTTTGGATCTTCCGCGCGACTCGCCTCGCTGCATTATTAACTCGCGCAACTCATCGCGAGTTCGCTGAGCCTCTTCGCGCATGTCTTCGCGGTCGCGATCGCGATCGCACATCACCTCCATGCGAGTCTTCTTCAATTCTCGCAACATGTCCAGACGACTACGTTCCAACTCGCGTTCCAGGTTTTCCAGTCTAACTTCCATTGTTATTCTTGTTGATCCTCTCGTAACGACCATGTACAGGTTACCAGGTCGATGCTCTGATACCAATGTTAAGTATCTATCTGGAATCAGTAATAATTGCGGTAGAAAATAGGAACAAGATGACAGTGAACAGGAATAGTTATTCGAACAACAGAAAAAGAGAGAGAAAGTGCCCTGACAGTTAAAGAGATGTCAACTCTCCAGTCCCAGCCCAGTACCAAATAACAGCCTACCTTATTCATCCTTTAGCTATCTAATTTATAGAAGTCCACCCGACCCCCAAAAACAATACAGCTAGCTACTTATTATTCCCTTTCCTTCTGGAATACACTTTATCATAATAGCTAATACTATTATTATTATCAAGAGGTTGACTTCCCGTGACTCTAACAGTCTTGAAGGAAGTAAAATAAGCAAGATAAAGGGGGTCAAATCAGTTACGGGTTTTAGGGCTCAGCTTAATTCAAGAAATCAGAAGCTTAAATAAAACGGCTATAGTTCTTCAATCAACTTATTTCTGCTTATTTACATATTGTGCTATATTAGGTCAGAAATTAGAACACATTGCTACTAATGCCCCTTTCAAAATAAAGACTTCCTTAAGCATACAAGGACTCCTTAGTGTTGAACCGGCGAACCGCCCTAGGATGTTGAGCATGTTATCTTGCTAGGGACTACCTTTTAGCATTTCATATACTTTCCTTTTTTCTTTTACATGTATGCTTCTATACTAACTTATTTTTATTATAATTTTTATTAGCATTTCATGCGAACACAATACGCATCGCAGCGGCTGCAATAGTCCAACAGCATCAGCTGCAATACGCATTGCAGTGGCTGCAATAGCCCAACCGCAAGACCACAAATCAAAATCATGGGGATAACTACTATTACTAGTAATATCTGAGCAATTTGCCATACCCTAGTTAGAGCCACTCCGCTAGATAATGTTGTTGGCATGCAGCAAAATATAGCTAGACCTGTACAAACCAAAGATGACCATTGATTGCCTCAGAAAGAGTCGGAAGTTTATACGCCTAGCTAAGAATCTAACACTTTCTATTTTTTCAAAACTTAAAATTATCCCATATAATTATCAGATGAGAGCTATAATAACATTTTCTTCCATTTAAATACAAAATTATCTTTCTAACCCGTGATAAATTCTTGAGGCTGAAGCTGAAGCAGCAAAATAACCTTTGAAAACAGAGGTGTGATGAACAAAATAGAAGCCTGCATTAATCGAAATACAAGAGAAACTGACAAATTAATCACAATATGTAATCATCAAACATAGAATGCACAATTCTCTTGGTGGTTGAGTATGTAGAAATTTGTTTTTATGTCTATGTTCAACATAATACATGCAATTTGCAATGTTTGTGAAGAACGGTGGGTTATGGTGGTGTCATATGGTGGAACTTTGGTCATCAACTATTTTCAACAGTGAAACAAATATAAGTACAGCACCTGGGTTGAGAAAATATAGACTTAATGTGCACACTCTCACTCACACTCATGGACATACAAACTTAAAAATGCTTCCAAAAGGAGTATACAAATTTATATGATAAAGAAAAATAAATCAGTCCATGAAATCCTGCAATGAAGCAGCATGTTAAAAAACTACAACCAGCCAAAGAAAAAACAGTGGAGAGAGAGAAATGAACCTACAAAAAGTAAATTGGCACATAAGAAGGAAGTTCATACAAGACCAAACAGTGCAACTGGCCAAGCTTCAGCAGCAGCACTGATTTCTTCTGTACGGAGTGTCAGACCTGTATCGAAAGAAGGAACATAACAGATCATTAGCAATATGAAAAATAAAATAATAGCAGTGACTACAATGGTATTACGGTATTATTACTATTGCTATTACCTGAGATCATGAATATCCCAAAAGTGCTGAGCTTGGAGAGGTGATATCTATCCGCAATACAACCAAGGCTAGGATTTGCCAACCCAAGGGTTACTCCGCATATAAGAGCTGTACACAAAATTAAGTAATTGTTGTGCATCTATAATACAGAACAAAGTTTTCCACAAACACAAATAATAAGACTGATGTATTTTCATTGCTTATCAAACCTGGATATGCCAAGTCCTGATCGGATAGTTCTCAAAAGATCATTCTCTATATCGGACTACCTATTCTATTGTTTCCTTCGCCAGATTTTCTTAATTACATTTACTCATGACATACAAATAAAATTCAATTTTCCAATAATATACTACATCCGTCCCAATTTGATGGTCCTGGTTCATATTCACTTGGTCAACACAAATCACTCTTAAATACTTACTTTTTATATCAAAATTTTATCAAATTTGATTCAGGTTTTTGCAACTTTGTAAAACTTTTAATGTAGTTTCTGAATATGTAAATTTTATTTGCTAGTTTGCTACAAATAATTTAAGTGTAGACAAGGATTCGTTTGCTTTATCGTCAATCAGGCCTCGTAAACCGCAACAGGACCATCACATTGGGACGGAGGGAGTATAAAATAAATCGCATCCTGCCTATCACCACAACCAACTGCAGCCGCCGGTGCCAGTCGCACCTAACGGTCAATATCAGGAAGACAGAAAGGTTTTAGGACGACAATCTTGGCTAGCGGTCGTAGGGAATCCAGTATAGTTTCAAGATGGCAACACTTTGTGTGAGTGACCAGAAACTCAGAATCTAGGATAACAATATGAGGATGACGGTATAGTTTCAGACTTTCAGGATGACCATATTTTTTCAGTCCAGCGCTGGTCATAGGAAGGTAGGAGTTTGCCAGCAACCGCCAGAGTCCGGTGGCAGTCATGCGGTGGTTAATATTATTTTTGTTTTGTAAAAATTTAATTATACAAGTAGGAGTATTTTGTCCATTGACTCATTTTTTACTCCTACAAAACATACCACTCCTTTTAGGAAATACAGATGTTCTACTATTTATGAAATTATCCCAAAAGCATACCAAGACTAGTGCCTTTTCTTTCATAGCAAACCTGCATACGCCTAATCCTGATATGTTACTTCTCAAATGGTCATTCCAATATATCACTAATTTCTTTAACATTTTATTCTTTCCCCAACTCCACAAGCAATTACGGTTATGATAACAACCTATATATCATACTCCACTTCATGCCCTATATCTGCCATAGCATGTTTAAACAATATAAAGCAATTCCAAGTTAACTTTCCTTTCTAACACTCAACAGTCACCAGTGTTTATTGCGAGTGACACACATATGAACAAATGAACAAATAAACAATTTGAATAGGTCTTTGTCTCTAATCTTTATAATGGGTCTATTTTATGAACTGGGTTATTTAATCGGCGAGTACTCCCTACTCGGCCTCCTACCTTGCAGAGTAGCACCTTTACTCGGCCCGAGTTAATTATCTGAGTTACTCGCCGAGTACTCGGCGAGTTAGTCAACTCAGTGAGTTGGTCAAATGGGCGAGTTACTCGCTACTACTCGGTGTATTAAAAAAACTGCGCACAAAACCTAAAACTATTTTAAGCGGTCATATTTTGGGGCTTCGACCAGTGCTGCTACATCGTTAGGAGCTGCGACTGGCAGTGTCGGTCATCTTTTGGGGCTTTGACCAGTGCTGCTTCATCGTTTGGAGCTGCGACTACTAGAAACTGCCAGTTCTACGAATCTACAGTGCTGCTGGGAGTCACCTGCGAGTGCTACAGGGTTGCTGCGAGGTGCTACAGGTAATTTGTTCCCTCGTTTCTTCTTCCTCTTGTTAAAAAAAATTAAATTGGGATTATTCAAACTGCTGCAGTCGAAATTGTTGACCATTGAATTCCCTGCTACTAAGTTCCTTAGTTATTATGTTACTGAGGCATTAAGTTCCTTTTATTCTATGTATTAAGCTTTGATTTTTATATTAATTTTTCCTTGGCAAGTTGGCAGTGTCTGTGTTTGGAGCTTCGTATATTCCCCTCCCCTGTCTGGCTGTCTCGTTTCTTGTTCTAGTAGTAGTAACCAAAAGTGTATCATTTTATTAACAAGCTCTTACAGATGTCTCTGCAATCCAAAACATGCTGACATGTTGTAAGTTTTAAGCTTACTGTAATTTATACACTTAGGAAGCTTTAGCTACCATTTTTTTCCCACAGAATGTACGCTATTTTGATGTACATTTTTGTTTGGAGTTGCTAAGCTGAATGGTGTGACATTTCTATCTAGTTGAGATACTATATCCTATTCCAAATTATTTTTCTCGTTCATTATTAGGCAGTCAAACCTGTTCTTTTTTTAATCTGGTTTTATGTACTAAGTTTCAAGGTGCATACTATTATAGTCTCCATGAAAAATACACATCTAATCTGGTTTTATGAGATGATTGACTGCTTTATCACTTTCGTTTTATGACTTTTGCTACTCCATCATTAGGATAATAGGATTTCTATCCTTTTATTCACTTCTATGCATTTTAAGACAATTTAAAGACTATTTTAAGACTACTATATTTCTGTAATTTAGGGCACCTATATTATTATATTTAATTAATACAAGGCCGAGTAATCACCGAGTAATCCCGAGTAATCGGTCCTACTCGCTACTCGGCCCTTGACCGAGTTGCTACCGAGTAGCGAGTAAATAACATAGTTTATGAATGCTTTATTTCTTCAAGACATGAAGTCTAATCTTAAGAAGCTGTTCTCTTCGCCTAATCTGAAATTTTTAATTTCTGATCTGATTTGAATTCACCTAAAACAGCCCTAGCTGATAGCTAGTTCAAAGTAAGAGACATTATCCAATTTTTATTTAGTTATTGTATTCCTATTTGACGAAATCTAATAGGATCATAAACAACCAACTATTCCCAAACCTTGTAACCAATGTGTGTTACTTTTGAAATGAAATACAGAATTTTATTCTCCTGAAGAAAATCAAGCAGTTTTATTAGATATCTCAGATCTTGGATCTCGTGAAAGATATTGGAGCAGGGGCAGAGCTACCCTTTGGGGTAGGGCTCCCCCAACTTTTCAAATTCTATTAGGATTAATTAGTTAATGTTCATAGTACTTATTAGTAAAAAAATTGTAGGAGTAGTTAAATGTTAATATATTTATTATAATATTCTCTTTTAAAGTGAAACATAGTACTAATTATGATTGATAGATATATAATCTTAAATTTATCATTCTACGGAGTATTAATTTTTAATTATATTAAAACTATTCAATTTATAAGACTTTTTTAAGCTTGAAAAGTATTGGGGAAAATGGTTTGAAACTACAAACATATGGGACATAAATTTGATCAAATCTAATGAATTAACTTTGACGTCAGATGAATTTAATCTTATATGCCTATTTTGTATAGTTAAAGAGTAATATAATTAAGTATGCAAACAAATTTAATAATATCAATAATATTTAATACCCTTTGAAATCTGTGATGCAAAACCAAACAAAAAAATCATTTCCTAGTATTTATTTTCTTTCCCTAAGCATTATCCACACATGTAGTAAAAAGAATGATTTTCGAAAATTAAACATCACAGTATAATACGTAGTATATCTTAAGATATTGATACATTATTTTGTATAAGTTGTCCTACAAGGTCTCAAATATTTCAAATTAACCATCAATTTTAATAAATTATGTTTGTATATTTATCGTTTTGTTTTGGTCTAGCCCCCCCCCCCTACTGAAATCCTGGCTCCGCCCCTGTATTGGAGCACATTCTGCTTCAGAAGACATGACTAGCCTAGCATGCACATGTATGCCTGAGGTGAAGCTTGGTAAAAGCAACGTGTGCGTTGAGGTAAGTTACTCAACAGGTTTTAATGTAAACTTATATTTCTAGGCCATATGATAAATTAACTTCATTGTCATGCTGTTAGGTCCACTGTATAGCATTGTAGTGGGTTTAAATAGTAGTACACAGTTTTGACAGAGCATTTGAATTTGAAGATAAAAATGCAGCTCTACACTTGTGTATTTGAGAAACAAGAAAGTCATTAGAAAGGTTCTTCCACAATACACAACCTAATTACTAAACAGGCTTCATCATGTAGATGAGTCTGACAACCTCAACATAGAAGGGATACAAACAACTTTTCCAAGGTTGTGTTTGTCAGCTCCCTATCTCTTCTTTTCTAGTCTAACTAAGATATACTCCTTTTGCAGTCCAAGGTCGAACTAAACTCCTTTTTCCCATGGTTCTTCAGCTGGGTAAGTGTTGCTTATAAATATTAGGGAGTGCCTCGTAATTAAGAACAAATTATATAAAAATGTTATTCATATACATCCTTTTCTTTTAACAAACTTAGTGTTATAAAAAGTTGGATGCAATACTACAAAAAAATGGAGGCAATAAAAGATGATGCCTTGTCAATCATCCCATAACATGATAACAAATCACTGGAAATTGATAATTTGTAGTAAAGCGGCTTAAATATTCCCCTTGAGCATTTGCTCCAGTCTCCACCCACATCGAAGTTTGCAAAACGAGGACCAAATTTATTGATAGTGAGACCTGCAGTTCGGACACCACAAACATACCTAATGGAAGAAAATTATTCGATGCGAAATTCAGAATAGGTGCCGCCCAATTGTAGTCTTCTGCTGGAATTTGGTTTTCACTTTCATTACCCTGAAGGACACCATTGTTGTTCTAACACTCTAGATCCAAATTTAACTAAATATACACGAGTTTAAGAAACTAACCTGGTAATATTGTTTTTGGGCTCTAATAGGAATTGAAGGAAATGAGGGACACTTCCGAGAAAGTGCTGGACGGAGTTGGATTCTGACCGAGTAATGATTGCAGGAAAATGGAGAGACGGTACCCGGAAAATAAAGTCGACGGCGAACGGAAGTCATACTTCCTGCGGTGAGGGGATTGAGGAATGTGGTTCGGAGCGTCCCTGCCATATGCGCATCGAGTTGAACACAAACGGTCATGCAAAGTTTCACACGTTATACTCCCTCTTTTGCTTAAATGCCAAATTTATTTATTTTTGTTGGTGAAAATTTGTCACTTTCTTTGCTTAATTGCTTAATATTTATTTATTTTAAGTAAATAATTTGTGATTTCAATTAGTTATCTATCATCTGCATAAACTTCAATCATATAATATGTAGCATTTACTTTAGTAATCTTCATGTCATTAAAGGGACAGAAAAACAGAAAGACCCTTTTTATTTGATTTTTCCATCGGTCAATAGAACTTTAATGGAAGAATTCACATAAATAATCCTAACTATCAATGATCTTTTTATATTAATCTCAATTATTATTATTAGTAATTTCAATATAATCCAAACTGTAGTTGGTATCTTCCCAAAATAAACTCGTGACCTGCATAAACCAATTCAGCAGGTCACCTGACACGTGTTCTATTTTTATGCCCTTCGATGGGTTTGGCGTGCGAATATACGTCGTGGTGGGATGCATCCAAGAAATAAATGACTTATTCCGAGTGGGGGGTGAGGATCCATGAACTACAATAGATAGTGTAATTGAGTGGGGGAAGAAAGTGATAGTGTAAAACAATTGATTGGGGAAGAATGAGATAGATTTTAATTAGTCCAAAGATTAACTTCAAAGGGTAAAGAGAATATGAGTGTTGTTGAGGAGCAAGACCGGGGTAGAGTCGTGAAGGAAGGAGAATAAAGGAAGAGAAGGGCGGTTGATTTTCAAGGCTTGGTGGAGGTCCAAGTAAACACGGAGGTCGATGGCGACAACTCAAAAATGGAAAGGAAACGGTCCTCTCAGAAATACACTGCCTGGAATTATGATAGTGCACGAAAATGGGAGTGTTCCTTTGAAGGTGGGTGGGCAACCCTCTTTTCCCTTTCCGATGGTCGGTAAAATTGGGATGCTTGAATTAATTTGTTTCTTTCCTTTTAAGGACAATTTGTTTTCTTTTAATCATCATTTGAGTAACAAGTTCAATACTGTTGTTAGATTGGACTACATAGACGCAGGATTAGCGAATCTAGTTGGTCCATGAGGGCAAGTTGATTCGATGTCTCATCTCATGCAGTGTAGTCTTGTGCTATTATATTGCTTTATGTCTGATTAATTTTATCATTAATAAATAAGTTTCGTCTTTCCGAAAAAAGTAATAAGTTTGAGTGCTCCACCTGACTTTTATTATTTTGATTTTACATAAATGATGATGATCAGCAACAAACCCAAAATCCTTATGAAGGGAGTCACCGTTGTAACGATGATTGGGTCATTTCCATTCCATAATCCGTAAGTTCAAGGACATTGCTAGAGCACCGTGCTAGGCTCCAACCAACCTCAAATTTGATAAATGCTTTGATTTCTTGTGTAAAAAAATATATAAACATTTATCATAAAAATAATTTATCAACACGTTACAAGTATCCTTCTCGTTACATTATTAGGTTAGTTCATGTATCGTGATTGAAGAAAACTTAACTAAATCATACGTTATTAGTACAAATGTGGGGTCTTGCAGATCTTGGAGATTGTAAATCTCAATCTAAACCCAGTTAGATAACTTTGAACACTAACATAGAGCATTTAATATATAATCAAAACTCGGGCTATTCAATTTTAGCCCATAAATAGACTACTATATAACCAAACTCTTCTTATTACCTATTTTTGTAGTCATAATACAATCCTAATTAGGTTTTGGATTACAGCTTCCAACAGTTTCAGTTATGATTCAGAACTAAGACTGTCCCTTTTCAATATATGTTTTTTATATATCGAACTTTAATGATATATGCATAGGACTTTGTGATTCAACATTCCATTGGTATTTCTCTAAATATATACTTTAATTATGAATATTAGTTTAGGCAGGGGCAGAGCTAGGGAGTGCCCAGGCTAGGCCCTGGCCCACCCCAAATTTAAAATGTAAAAATTTGTAATGTAAAAATTTCCTGTAATTTTTTTTCCAATAATATTCTTTGTACCGACCCAGTCTGGCCCAATGCCCTGGCTCTGCCCCTGAGTTTAGGTACCATAAGCCTGTAAGGGAATAGTTGGTTTTAGAATTGAGCCTTATTTAAACATTTGAGATTTCGGCTCATGACATTAAATGAGCTCATGAGGTTATATTGTAAAAGGAGTTTCTCTCTATTTGCTATGTTTTGAATTTTGTTGTTATTGTTGTTACTATGCTGAGTTGAGTACACTTTCTACCTCTTACTTTACTACTTTATCTCTCTATTTGGGATTAGCAATATCATATCAATTTTAAATTATTCTTTTTAAATAGAGCTTGAGATAAAAACGATATTGTTTTGGGGTTGAGTTTTAAATAATAATGTTGTCTTCTTTTTCAAAGTAACAATATTCCATCCAAATCCCAACAACTTATGTGATACCTAAGTTTAAAAATTCACTTGAGATTTATATTAATCGAGCATATTAGAAGTGAGGGCATCAGTCGATTACTAAGTACTAATATTATTTTTAGGGTTAGAAGTAGGGCACTTGCTCCCAAATCATATGGGTCCTCCACTAATGATGATGATGATGATGTGGTTTACTCAACGAAATAGCCGAATAGTCAAACAATCATTTCATTCTAATTCTTTTGTTTCCTTCCCTTCAAAGCTCGTCGACTCTCCGTATACGGTACTCCCTCCGTCCCGCTAGAAGGTTCCCGTTGGCGGTTTACGATGCTTGACTGACGATAAAGCAACTTAATCCCAGTTCACACTCTGATTAATTTTAGTAAATAAAATTTACATATTCAGAAACTACATTAAAGCCGCTACAAAGCCTGATAAAAAAATGTAAATTTGATAAAAATTTGATTTATGAAGTAAAAGATTAAAAATGATTTAAGTTGACCATGTGAATAGTGGACGAGAACCTTCTAATGGGATGGAGGTAGTATATCATTTATGTGGTACATTGCATTAGTTACCCATCCCATTCAGCATAGCACAAGAGATTATTCATGTTCATGAACAAGGCAAGGGATAGATAAGATCATAAGATTATAAGAATGGGAAAAGAAACTAAGGGGAAAGGGAGGAAGGGAATTGGAGAGGAGTATGACTTATTTGATTGAGATTGTTCAATTTTTGGAAAACGGAGAATTGGATATAGGTAGATGAAATAACCAGCTCTTGTTGAACTTAATATGTGGCATTCAAGAGATAAATATAAGATGATTATTTTAACTTAATATAGAGAAAGTGGTGTGCATGTAAAATGAAAAGGAGGAGAGACATGAGTAAAGCGTAGACTATGTCTATGACAATGTTCACACATGAGCTTTACATGGTATTCGAGTAACAAAAGTGAATGGAGAGTGTGTTAAAAGTGATATAAAAAATGAAAATAAATATAAAAATATGTAGGTCCTACACATAAAAATTGTAAGAAAAATGGGACTCACGTGTAAGGGTGTGTAGGAAGATCAGACATCCCTGGGAGATGCCTCTTAGTTTTGTATCCTTCAACTTAACTTTTTTAATTTACTGATCTAACTGAACTCATTAACTCTAAGTACTTTTTCCGATGAGTTTACATTTATTAGACTAAAATTTCGGACTCATTCTAATAGGATGAGATCGATCTAGTATGATTTGTTTGAGTTTAATATGATCTGATTTATTGTGAGAGTGGTATGGTCGACTCCAACTAAAACATTCGAGGACATAATACACACATTAAAGAGTCTTTTATATAAATGGCGGTGTTGGTCATCAAAAGTTCAACTAGTCAACTATGCCAAATAAAAGTGTGATAATGCTAACTCTGATCTTTGTCTATTTCATTATTTCTCTTCAAATCCTTCTTGGCTCTCCGCTCATGGTAAATATTTCCAGTCCATTAGTTACATGTCCCTTTCATTGTAGCGTAGAAGTTTTTATTTTTCTGGAGGATGTTCCATCTTGAGAAATGAAGTACTTCGTATATAAATAAAGGTAGAGGAGATAATGTCTCCATCAGCTCATCTTTACACAAGAGGATCTTCCATTCCTAACCTCATTGTGACGTGTCCAATGGGGCACTCTCTTGTTACTACTTTTTGACATTATTATAGAGGAGATAATAATTTTGTTTGACAATTGTTGTTAGCTGTTAGCTGGTTATAATAGCGGTTTGATTATAGTCGCTTGATTTTAGCGGTTTTGATCGATTGATAAATTATGTTAGCTTATTGTTAGCAATTGTTTGATAAATTAGATGTTTATGAATAGTTGTTTGAGTGTAAAAAGATGTATAAGAACACTAAAATGAATTTCTTCTCTAACTATTACTTATAAAACAATATTACCTACAATTACTTACTTCTTCATTCTTAAATAAATGCAACAGTCAATTTTTCACATTTGTTGAGGCCCAACTTTGATCATTAATATATATAATTCTCTAGTAGTAAAAAACTTTTAAAATCTAATTTTGAAAATTTACAATGACAAAACTACTAATATTTTTTTCAAAAAATATATTAATACATTAATACTTAAAATGTAGTCAAAGTAATACGTGTGAATAGTGAAAAATTCAACATGATGCACTTATTTAAGAATGAAGGTAGTGCTTGGTATAAATCACTCATATTTTTGAACTTTTAAAATTGATAAATACAACTATATATGGAAAATAAAAATAAATAAATAAATAAATAAATAAATAAGATGTTATGCTGATAGTTTGAATTCAAGAACATGAACTCAAATTACTAAACAATAATGTAACACTAGTACCAATAAACATGAAAAAGTGCCAAAGTGTGTCTCATTAAATAATTGACACACTAATTTTTATTACAAATATAAAATAAATTGTGTGTTGCACAACGATTGAAAGAAAAAAAAAACTTAAATTCCCCACCCAACAATAAATGCTTCAAGAATATGGTAGAGGAACTCATCAATAATAGTTCATCATTAGGTGGCATGAGAGGTGGATGACTGAATCAAATTATCAATACTATAAAATGTACTAGTATTATTTCCTCTTCCA